ATCTTTGTTGCCATATTTATCACCATGTTTCAGCCAGTGTACGCTCCAGCTTTCTTCAGGTGTTTGGAATGTTGAAATGAACTCTTTATTTCACTCGCTGGGGTAGACTGTTCTAGTTCCACGTGTCATGTCTGATGGATGTCAGTTATTAGTTATCTCCTGTTAATTCACCTCTCCAAATTCTCCACTGCCTGAACCAGGTATTGAACTCACACCTCTTTGGGTCCTGCCACTGGATCTAACCAACGCCTTAAGGACACATGGCACAATGGATAAAGATGTTGGTTAGATCCAATGATAGTGTGAGTTCAATGCCTGGTTAAATGGTTAAGAGATGTAAATTGACAACAGGTGGATCATGGCCTACAACCCACTGCTGTCTAAAATATTCATAGCATTCGAAATAGTTTGTTGCGTGTATGTATTTATATAATGTTTTCATTTTTCAAAACAGAGTCAAGATTTCTTATTTAAAAGTTAAAATATTTTGTCCTTGAAAATGGCGAAATGTAGAGCTGAAAGCGTTTGGAAAAAAGAACATTCGGACAGTTTGTTTATAATGTATCATCTGAAAAGAAAAAAATTATTAGATCATATGAGAAATTGTATAAAAAATAAATCAAAGTACCTTGTCTGTCGTATAGTTACCTTTACTGTATATATATATATATATATATATATATATATATATATATATATATATATATATATATATATATATATATATATACCTAGTAGAATGGTGAATAAGTTAAATAAAGAGAGAACAGTAGAGAGGAAAACTGGATCAGGAGGTCACAACAGGAAGAGGGATCATCATTTCCACTTAGAGGTAAATGGATCATTTAGAAAAGATCCAATTCATTTCATATGACAGTTCAAAGAGCAATGAAAAAAAGACTTGAAATTGAAATCATACGTGAAACCTGTGAGGCACCTTGTTACTCCAGGAAATAAGTTAGAAGATTAGAGAAGGTGAAGATCACCTTGAATAAGTTAGAAAATAATTTGATGGATATATATATATATATATATATATATATATATATATATATATATATATATATATATATATATATTCAAGAACTGGGTATTATCAGTATGGTAAACAAAAGCTTTTTTTGATTGATTGATTTGCTTTTTATGTCTTATCAATCTTTTGCAGGTTATTTAAAGCCCAAAAATATTTTTAGATTACAAGCCTTTTTTGGAGATAACAATGGTTTTACTGATACAGGTTCACTAATTAACTATATATATATATATATATATATATATATATATATATATATATATATATATATATATATTTTTTTTTTTTTTTTTTTTTTTTTTTTTTTTAATCGGCAATTGAGTTGGTTAAGAGGTGGATTCATGCCTTTCTCAAAGGTATTTGCACATAAGTGGATATAATGAATCCAACCAGAATTGGAACCTGACTCTCCAATT